GTGGAAACTTCACTCGCAAGTGCTTTTTGATGTCCTTCTCCAGGCACCAGAAATAGTCGAATTTTGTGAAATCTGATTGAGAATCTCACTCTATCCTGTTGGCAAACTGGGCTTTATAGCCGGCGACTGGGCTTATTATCCGGCGGATTTTGCTATGTAAAATTCCGTTCCCGAGCTGACTTGGGCTTAATACGCGGCTGGGCTTATTAAACGTGGGCTTAATAAGCTAGTTTGGGCCTATTAACCGTGGGCTTAATAACCGGCGACTTCTGTAGCATGCTGTGTTTTAGGAGACCACCAAATCATAACTTAAATAACAACTGATGGGACAACAACTTGGACCGCGCAGTCAGCCCAGGTTGTATTTGTGTACAGTGACTTATCGGCAGACTGCGTTAGGCCGCAATGGCTACTTCTTGCTGTGGACTTTATGGCACTCCCGCTCCGCGGTCTCCGAGCCAGGTGTGACCGCACGCTTAAAGGTGGCTCCGTCCGTTCCAGCTACCTGCGCCCCTCCGGTCTTCTTGACCTGGTCATGAAACAGGGCCGAGGTGAGGGAAGGGAAAGAGTGCGGTTGATGCCCGTGTATTTTTAAACGCGACCCACATTTCTAATTATACATAAGCTCCTAGACAATAACATATACCCCATCATGTCCTATTAAAATGGCCTCCGGGTACTGCTCTTCTGTCGCAAAAAATCAGGGATCATACTGTGTAGTTTGTGAACAGCATTAGCGAGCCGGATGTTATCGGACGAACATCTTAAATATTCCCATGATTACAAAGCTTTCGGCGGCCAAATCGCCTACTTTTGGCCCGACGTTTGAAAAGGACGCAGTTTCTAATAATTTGGACATAATCAATGGACTTTTTTCAGCTATTTTCCGAGCTGGCATCTGCAGAAACAGCAAAGTAGAGGACAACATTGTAGTTCGGGTCTCCAGAGCCAAACGCAACTTCTGTCGACTTCATATGCAATCATCTGACAATGTTCTCAATTATCAGCTCAAGCATGCACAGTAATGTATTCTGGATAACGTTCCCCACTGGTGTAGCGGCCTGGAACTGTATAAAATCCGGTCGTGTAAATTTAACCACTTTGATTTGATGCAATAGCATGAATGTGCCTCGGATGCTCAAGTTCTGGATTGGTCTCACGTGACTAACGTCTGAATCGAGTCGAGCATAAACTGAACGACCACATTAGAGGAATGTCTGTTGCACACCGACCGAAATGAAACTTGTATGATTTCATCATTAAAAATGCTTGCCGCCAAGGATAACCGAAAAGACTAAAAGAAGTGTTTGAAGGCATGGTAGAACCCCACTCAGTCCTCTAAAAGCACCCATGGATCCGACGCGACGCTGTCTGAGGACTATCCTTCGAGTGAAATGTACCTATTTCGTCTCAAATGAGACAGCCCGCACTGGCTGCGACAATGTCGCAGGGTTAACTTAGACCATCCAAGAAAGATAAATGAGCTGGTTTTGGCACGTTCTACGTCGTCCGCCTCACAAGCTTTGTTGTATTGCCCTCGATCCGGCGCCGCGACCTACCTGGAGGCGTCGAAGAGGAGGGCAACTCAAGACTTGGCTTGACACCATTCGTCGCGACATGGAAGCCGTTCTTGGACCTTCGGTCTCCGTTGC